CACATGTCCACCACCTGTCCCACCTAAGTCTTCGTCCCTAACGTTGTTTGGACCACCATCTTCCTCGTTCACAGCCCACCATTTCCATCCTCCGTCGCAGCTCCATCTTCTTCGTTCACAACTTCTGCGTTTCTTCCATTTCCGTCGTCCGTCATAGGTATCTTCCAAACCTCCGTCATTTCCGGTCACTTCTCCATCCACTATCAAATATGCTAGAAAATCATCCATTATATCTGGAAAAAGAAAATTAAAAAACAGAGAGAAAAGTGAGAAACAGAGAACGAAGAGAGGGATGTGGGAGAGAAAGAAAATGTGCGTGAGGGATGGGGAGGGGAGGGCTGTGTGAGAGGAGGGGTAAAAGGAAGCAGTAAAAAAGAAGGTTTATATATGGTGTACCCCAGGGTGTAACCCAGGGTGTACACCAAGACTGGATGAGTTAAAACCGTTGCTAATTTTGGGTCAGAGAGGTGTATTTATATGACCGGAAGGAGTCGTAGACTCGACGTCTTGTAGCTGTATTCCAGAATCGAGAACGCGTATTCAATGACGGAAACGACCTGTTACATCGGCATTCTATCCTGAAGTTTGTCTGCGGCTGGATTTATTGGAAGAGTATTTCTACGGTGCATCTTATAATTGCGAAGGTAGGGTACAATCTGCCTAGGTGGATAGGTAACAATTTTACACATGGATTGTTTGAACACATAGACACTCTATTAATCCGTATTTAATTTAAAGAGTCTCTAATTTGCATTTTAGGATATTTTTATTTCGACTGTAATTTGCTGGTCTGGTCTGATCAGGTCTGGTCTGGTCTGAACTGGTCTGGTCTGGTCTGGTCTGGTAAGGTCTGGTTTCTTTGTATTTTTATAACTATCCAAGTCTGGTCTGGTCTGGTCTGAATTGGTCTGGACTGGTCTGGTCTGATCTGGTCTGGTCTGATACAAATTACAGTCCAAGTAAAAACATCCTTAATCCCTACAGCAAACATAGTTTAATTTTGACGGTAAAGGAAACTGAATTAAACGGACAACCGTTGTCTTAATCCGAACGCGGAAGACTTCGCCGGTCAGAAGGATACAAAGACCGCGGCAATGCCTTGATTTCGCCGGTCAGACTGCTGCACAGTTTTCCTTCCGTTCTGCGTTTGGAGAACCTCTACCATACCGGTGTAGTCTTCCTTTCTAATTGAGTTCGTCCGTTGGAATGTAGCCTAAACACAATCTTCCTTTCCTTAGTTTAATTTTGTTTCATGCATTTTGTTCATCGTCAAACGGACGTTTATCTTAGGGATTAAAGTGCAAATGGATCTATCCTTAAAATAAATATTACCGAGTAAGGTTATGTCTAAAAATTCCACATGTATCATTCTTATTTGTCCGTCTAAGCAGAGGTACCGTACCTTCTTAATTTAAAGAGGTATGGTAGAAGGACCCATAAAACCCGAATGGAAACCTCTACGGTGCATTTACATTGTACGTAGTAGAATGTATTGGTATGAGCAAACTAGACTTAATGAATAAGATGCTCAAAAAAATTCATCAAAAAATTCCACCGGGAACCACCCCAAATGATGACGTCCGGACAGAACTTCCTAAATAAGGGCTTATTTGACCTTTTTTGGTTAGTACATGGGTCTATTTGCACCTTTTCCCATTAAAGAATAATACCTTAGTTCTTCACTCCTTCGTTATTATGCTTTTATATTTATGACTTATTCCTAATATTTTTCTTTCTCGTATCTTATCCGTACATGATCTCCTCTCCCACTAAACTAGTAAACTCATACGCAATATGTTTTTTTGACAGAGTTCGTACGCAATATGTTAGAATTATATTTTCATAGTTCTTCCAAATTTCTGTGAGGATAACATTTGAAAATCGGTTGTTCGAGTTTAATTTTCTCGTTTTTATTTGTTACTCTATCCCTTCTCCAAATCCAAATCAATGATTGTGAGATTTGGGAAATGATTTTAATTAATATACAAGTATAAATTTTAAGAAATGTCGACAATAATAATCTCACATGTTACTGGACTTTAGAATAATATCACTTTTACGTAATTTCAATATAATCGCACTTTCGCACTTCATCTTCTTTCGTTAGTTCCTAACCGGCTGATGATTTGTTATGACAGATTTTTCGTGTTTTCTGTGAAAAAATTACTTTACTTTAATAATTTCTACTTTTACAAGGTTTTCTAGGGCGTATCGTTGCGCCGCTAGCTTTTGGTCCGGCCTCGACAATTCCGTCGAGGTGCGGTTTTTCGGCTTTGGAAGTATCGAAATCGGAGGTTTTTAAACGCACGGAAGGAGTAGGAAGGGGAAGCAAACAACAGGGGAAGGAAACCGAGAGCGACGATTTTTCTCCTAGTCGTTTTGTGTCCAATTCGAGATGGAGTCTATAGCATAGAGTTATCGGCGAATAAGTGTGGAGGAGAAGGAGGCAGAGCTCATTTGTGATGATGTCGAAGCCGGCGAGGAGGCTGGGGAGGGGTTTCGTCCGGCGTTTCCGGTTGTTGGGGTACTGATCACCGACCGGAAAATCAACTTCTCAGGCTTCAAAGAGGCAATTGCATCAGTTTGGAGGCCGGGCAGAGGGGTAGAAATCAAGGAGATCGAGAAAAAAAGGTATATTTTAATTTTAGCCATTCCGTTGATATGAAGCGTGTGGTTGAGGGAGGCCCTTGGCAATTTGAGAGGAACTTACTGATTGTAAAGGAAATCAAACCAACGGATATTCCTCATAAAATTGTTCTGAATGAAGCCGAATTCTGGGTTAGGGTTCATAATGTTCCCTATGGTATGTTGAATCTAGGTACTGCTAGGAAAGTGTGTAATTTCCTGGGTAGTTTTGTTGACTTTGATAGAAATAACTATGGTGAGCAATGGAAGCCTTGTATGAGGGTTAGAGCTTGTATTAACGTCGAAAGACCCCTGAAGAAGGGTACGAATTTGAAGAAAGAGGGGGTCGGGTACTGGGTAGATTTTCAGTATGAGAAACTACAAAACTTTTGCTTTATCTGTGGAGTCATGGGACATTCTGACAAATTCTGTCCACTTATGTATGAGGAAGGTCTGGTGTTGGAAAAAAGATTTGATGCGTCTCTTAGGGTAGGGGGTGGGGTAAAGACAAGCCCTACAGGAAAAAATAAATGGTTGATCAAGGAAGCTTCCCCTCTGGGGAGGAATCGGCAGAGAGGGCAAGAAGGTTCGGGGGATTCGGGGAGTGCTTCCAATAAGGAAGTGGTTCTGAAACATAATGAAGAATCATCTGGAGAAAAACGCAGACGTACCTAGGAAATAGGGACAACTCAAAATCAGTATGAGAATGAGATGGCTCTGGACAACTCAAAAAATGGAGAGGAGACGGGCTTAGAGTGGTAAGCTTGTCAAAGGATGGCACGAGACAGAACGGGACGAGCTGGGGGTGCGGTTTTCTGGTTCAGTTTTGCAGTTACTCTGTTGTTTTTTGTTGTTTTTATTTTTGGTCTGAATGATCGTGTTTTTCTTGTTGTTTTTTCTGTTTCATTGGTTGTAAAACGTTGGATTCTGGTTTGGATGTGGGAGATGATCTAACTGGGATTACCGTCACTGGCTCAGTTGTGCCCAAATATGGATCAGCGAGTTATATTACTGAGGTAATTGACTCCGACTCTGGTTCGCGGGACAACGGTTTTCTAAAGTTAAATTATTTTGTCTGTTTACCTGCTTTCCAAATGGTTTGATTTATATGTAAGCCGCTTTCATCCAAAAAACAATTCTACTTTTACAAATCTTCTGAAAACGGTCCTTCTTTCATTTTGTCTCCCTTTTATTTTCCTTTATTTTTATCCACAGACCCCTTTTTATTACTTTTACATCTTTTTGTATTCTATTTCTCACTCTATTAGGAGAGTTTTTTGTAAAATTTCTTTCCCAGACAATTTTTTTGTCATTTTCTATCAATTACGGGAAAACCCCTTTGTGAAAAAAATTTGAGAAAAAACAAATATAAAAAAAACTAAAACAATTAAGGAAAAAATAAATAAGAAAGAATAAATAATGTACTACTTACACAAAAAGGGATTGATGGGACATAAATTGGCAAAAAGGGAGAAAAGGGGAGAATAAGAAGAAATCTTGAAAAGCAAGTCACAAGCCATTAACTTGTCAAAAAGTAGTGAAGATTGAGGTGAAAAGGAACAAAGAAAAAAAAGACTTCTAAGATGACGAAAAGAGAAAAAGAAGAATGTAAAGAAGAGCCAACATAGGCATGGACCCGGTTCGGGCCGACCGGCCCGCCACTGTGCGGGACCGGAACCGGCCCAGTTCTCGGGTCCGGGTCCGGGTCGGGCCTAGGCCCGGTGGGGGGCGGGTCCGGGCTCGGGCCTTGTATTTGGCGAACCGGCCCGGCCGGGTCGGGCCCGGGTCCGGGCCTAATTGATTTTTTTTTTTTTCATTTTTGGGGTAGACCCGGGTTGGGCTTGATGGTTAGGAGGGGTTTGAGGGTTTTGGGGGGGTGGGGGGGGTGGGGGGATTAGGAAAGCAAAAAAAAAATAAAAAAAATTTTAACCAAACCGGAGGCCCGGCCCGGACCGGACCCGGTGGCTACCCTGGCCGATCCCGGGCCTTCCTTCCCAAAAAAAAAGCCCGGCCGGGCCCGGCCCGGAACCGGAACCGGCCCGGGTCCATGACTAAGCCAACATTGAAATTGAAATAAAATAATAACGAGTAGTGCGGGGAATAACAATCTTTAAATGAGAATTAGTAACACGGAGTATATAATAGGGATATAGAGTAAAAATGTGGAGGAGGAGGAGGAGGAGGAGGGCGAACGAGGAGAAGGAATCGAGGAAGAGGAGGGGAAATTCTACATGATAGAGTATAGTGGCTCGGATCCACGGCCCACATACTTTCGGGCACACAAATGGTCCAGACCTTGCGTCAGCACCAAAAGGACCAGCGAGAGGACCATATATCAATAAAAGTGCCGCTGGATATATACAATGAAACATCATCCCAAGTGGTCATTATTATGTGCATGATTGATAATTAAACCACACTCTTCCATATGAATCGTGAATTTGGATTGTGATTCTGTTTGATGCACTTAAATAATCTTATTCCAACTATATCATTCATGTGCATTATATGACCAAACTATATACAATAATCCAATAAGAGGAAGAAAATGGTAGATGGATATACGAAATGAATTCAACTAGTCTAACATTATTACCCTAAATATAGATATCCACCTATCTCCTCAAAAACCGTCATCAGCTTGTCTGTCTGTTTCAGCCAGGACCGAGAAACACGATACCTAAAAAACAAAGTCATTAGAAAGAAGGCATGAATGGACGAAAAACGGGCTGTATTGAAGGTGTGATTCAATATTCTTGTTTACCGTTGTTGTGTAGGCAGGCCACAACCCGATTCGCACTTCGGGGATCGGTACATCCCTCGATATGTGGAATGACTTAACAATTTCTTACTTACCCAATGAATAAAAAAAGATCAAACTGACTGAAATGTTAGAATATAAGTAGGCTCTATCATTGCATACCTTCAACCCAACCAACAGATGAAATTCCATTTGGTGAAACTAAGTTAGATGCTTCACCCCTCAACCCTACAGATGCAGTTAAACAGACTCCCAAAGCAAAGCAAAGCAAAGCAAGACCATTTCTGCCAAGATAAGTCCTTAGGTCCATTGTGCAGCCCATGCAGTACGACGGGTTTAATGATTCGGGCCATCTTTTGTAAGATGCACCATTATTCTTCAAAGAAAAATGCAAAGAAAAACATTATAATACATACTAAATACACAAAGGAAGGCTACTATTCAATGACTTGGGTAAATGAAGCAGATGATATCAATCAGGTTGTGAAGCCAATTACAAATCATATGAATGCATGGCATTTTAGTGTATCTAATAATAAATTTGGTAGGCATTTTAGAGAGCTTCAACATTTTAGGTAGCCTTAGAAGCTGTTCTCTTCACCTGATCTGAATGTTTCTGATTTGAATTTTTTGAGTTCTGATCTGATCTAATCTGAATGTTTCTGATCTGATCTGATCTGATCTGAATCTTTCTGATCTGGTCTGATCCGATCTGAATGTCCCTGATCTGATCTGAATGTTCCTGATCTGATCTGAATGTTCCTGATCTGATCTGAGTGTTCCTGATCTGATCTGAATGTTCCTGATCTGATCTGAATGTTCCTGATCTGATCTGAATCCTTCTGATCTGGTCTGATTTAAATATTTCTAAAATTATAATTATAATTTTAATTTTTATTATAATAATAAGAAATGTAATTACACATATATAATTTAAATATAATTATAATTATAATCATAATTATAAAAAAATTATAATTATAATTATAATAATTATAATAGGTATAATTATTATACGTATTAAACTAGTTATAAATATAGCTATAATTAGAGGAAGCGGTCCAGCTCAGCTGGTCGCCGACTCACTCTCCCTTATGGGAGGTCTCGGGTTCAAAACTCAATGGGGTGAGTTTGAACCTAGTTTACTTCAGCCCCCGCAGACCCCCTCCCCCAGACGTCTCCTAGAGTAAACAAAAAAAAGTTATAATTATAATTGTAATTATATTTTTAGTTATAATTACTTCAAATATTATAATTTTAATTTTAATTATAATATTTATTTCTATAATTTTAATTGTAATTACTCCGTGTAATATAATAATAACAAAAAATACTAATAATAACAACAACAACAACCATAATAGTAATAAGAATAATAATAATCATGATAATAATAAGTATCATAATAATAGTAATAATGATGACGATAATAATAATAATAATAATAATAATAATAATAATAATAATAATAATAATAATAATAATAATTACAGTAAAAACAAGAATAATAATAATAATAAATTAATAATAATAATAATAATAATAAGAATAATAATTATAATAATAATAATAATTATTATTATAATAATAATAATAATAATAATAATAATAATAATAATAATAATTATTAATATTATTATAATTATTATTATTATAAAAGGGATAAATCATGTCTGAACTTTTTTATCTGATCTGAATGTTCCTGATCTGATCTTAATGTTCCTGATCTGATCTGAATGTTCCTGGTCTGATCTGAATGTTTCTGATCTGATCTGAATGTTTCTGATCTGATCTGAATGTTTCTGATCTGATCTGAATGATTCTGATCTGAACTGATCTGATCTGAATCTTTCTGATCTGATCTGATCTGAATTTTTCTGATCTGATCTGATCTGATCTGAATAAAATAAGAATAAGCAATAAGTAATAAGATTAAGACGAACAGAACAGCTTCTTAGTGTATTATTGCATTATATTGTAGATTAGTCCTAAAACTAGATAGAGAATGATTTTGTGGATTAAACCTCATCTCAATAAAGGAGGTTATGGTATGTTAACATTGAGCCGGTGACAGCCCCATTGCTCGAAATGGTAACAATTAGAGTATATTAGTCCTAGAACTAGATAAACAATGATTTTGTGGATTAAACCTCATCTCAAAAAGGTTGTTATGGTATGCTAACATTGAGTTGATGGCCCCATTGCTTGAAATGATAACAATCAGCTACATATATGATGCCCACCTAACTATTTGGTTCTACTCGATTACAATTGGGATTTAGGGAGGTGTATTATCAAATTTCTCAACTCAAATACCTTTGCCTGGATACTTTCAAGTAGTATCCTTTATTTCATTACCAGATTTATCTATAAAATTATATTTAGCATTAATTTTTTCACCCTTTTTATTAACCACTACTTAGTACCTACCGTTGAATCCATCATTATTTAGTACGGAGTACAATCTAATATGATCCATAGAAAAATTTGTAATGATGTTAAGAACTTAGAAAAAATAAGGGACAACTCTAACAAAATATTATTAAGATATATGTATTCCCGATGAAGGTATATATATATGCCCGAGTGTCCATCTGTAGTTACATAATAATAATTCTTTTGTCAATTTCAGATGCCAAAAGATTAATGTATTGCGACAAGAAGTCTGAATGCATTTGCAATTTGTTATGACAGAGGAATTATATGGGTTTGCATACTTTAACACCTATGTAGCACAAAGGCTCTAGGATTGAAAAATAAATGACTTATGGAAAAGTAAATTAATCCTAACACTCCGTGGAAACTGTTATGCATAGCAAAAGAACTCAATTCTATACATGGATTCTATATCTTTTTCAGTGTTATCGTTCATTTGATTACCAAATAGATCAACACAACTATATTTAGATTCAAATATTCAACCTTTTTAATAGACAATGCTTAATATCCATTACTGGCTTCATCTATAATCCCTTAATTGGAATAATAATCGTAATTTAGAAAGAACAGAACACAATAATAGTTCCCCACACTTGTGACCACCCCTTCTTACAAAGTAAAACTTAAAATAAAGATAAAGACCTTGTGAGCCCCAATTTGGATTGAGGCGAAGTTGTTCCCAAATGGATTGAGCCACTGCCACATGCCTTTGTGGATGAGGACATAGACCTTCTTCTAGATGATGACACAGGCCTTTTCGTTTATCTCGCCCACGTTCTTCGCTTTCGCAGCCGCCAGAAGGACTTTAGCAGCCTATGTTCGTCGTCGTTTTCTTCCTGGGTTCTTTTCCACTGTTCCGTAAAAGCTAAACCAGAGAATTAGAATTGATTGGTTAGGGGTCGGAACGGAGGGCTCATGTGCGATAAACGTGTTATTAATTAAAAAATTGAGCTGGATTGTATTACCAATGACATGTTGGCCACCTGTTGAATGCACCAAAACATTCATTAACGTGTATGTACCATAAAATTTTCCAACCCGAATTCCTGGCTTACGAGTAAAGGGTCAGTTTGGGAGCGCCTATATGGTACACCCGGGTGTACATGTACACCCGGTTTTTTTGTAATTACAAATTAGTAGCAAGTTTTTAGGCCGAGTTGTTCCGTTTTAATTTTCTGCCACGGCTCTATGCGCCTCCATGCCGAATACCGTTTCTTTTCTTTCCTTCCAGCCGCCCCCTCTTCTTTCTTTTCAAGCCACGTTCCTTTTCTTTCTTTTCCAGCTGCTATTCTCTTTGGTCTTTTACATTTTGTGTTTATCTTTTTTATTTTATTTTTTCATTACTTTAGTTTTAGTTTGCTTTTCTTTTCTTTTGTCTTTTTCTTTTCTTCTTTTCGTTTCTTTTATTTCTTGTTTCCTTCTTCTTTTTCTTTATACATTAATACCGAGCACATTTGAAATGAGCTTTATTTTAAACTCAAATAAGTAAAGCGTCTAAAAAGAATGAACATACACAAATGAGTTTTTGAAAACTCATTTTGTAAGTTATAAATGTCCATTTAGTACCATTGTTATACTCATTTTAAAATTGTTTATCAATGCGTATATTTCGAAAGTCTCATATTACATTAGATTCACTTAGAATTTTATTATAGACACGAGACCACAAATCATGATTCTCAATCGCACGATTCTAATATCAATAACGGAGGTTCGATGCTCGCTGAATTTGTCTTGATGCTCAACGAACAAAACTTCCAATTTTTATATCAATGCTCATCTTGTAAGTTACATATGCTCATTTGTATAGATCTGATGCTCATTAAAAAATCATTAATGCTCATTTAACAGATATCATAATTTCCATCGATACACATTTTGTAAGTTACGTATGCTCATCTGGTACTCATCTTATGCTCATTTTCTAAATGTCACATCGATGCATTTTTTAAAAGTACTATTCTATTTTGCATTAGGTTCACATATTAAAATTCATAGGAGTTGATTATAAATATAATTTAATAAGTTTTTATAAAAGAAAAAATAACAAAAAGAAAGTGAATTAGAAGTTATGAAGCAGAGATCACGGTTCCAAATATTAGACTCCTAATACTCAACATAATAGGTCTGATGCTCATTAATGGTTCATTAATACTCATTCACCGGAAACCGTGATTTCATCTCAATAGCGGAGATTTGATGCTCAATTAAAATGCCATGATGTTCAACTAACAAACCTTGCGATTTTCATATCAATGTGTACTTTGTATGTTATGTATGCTCATTTGGTATTGATGTTATGCTCAGTTTTAAAATGTCATATCAATGCATATCTCAAGAGTATCATATGAGCAAATTAAACTTACCAAATATGCACATTGATATGAGAATTGTCGGGTTTGTTGATTGAGTATCACGACACTTTCATTGAGCATCAAACCTCCTATCTTGAGATGAAAATCACATTTTCTGTTAAATGAGCATTTATTAACTTTTAATGAGCATAAAACCTATTTTATTGAGTATTATGAGTCTAATGTTGAACATCATGATATCTGCTTCATAACTTTTAATTCACTTTTTTTTGTTATTTTTGCTTATATAATTTTTTTTAAATTATATCTATAATCAACCCTTATGAATTTCAATATGTGAATTTATGATACTTTTGAAATATGCATTATGTAACATTTTAAAATGAGCATAACATCAATACCAAATGAACATACGCAACATACAAAATGAGCATTAATATGAAAATTATAATTTTTTTAGTTGAGCATCAATTCATTTTCAATGAGCATCAAACCTCTGATATTGAGTACTACAATCATGTGATTGAGTATCATGATTTGGGCCCGCGTGTTTATAATCAACTTTTATGTGAATCTAATGTAATATGGTACTTTTCAAATATGTATTGAATAACATTTTAAAATGAGCATAACAACATTACTGAATGAGCATATATAACGTACACAATGAGTTTTCAAAAATTCAAAAACTCATTTGCGTATGTTCATTCTATTTAGGCGTTTTATTCATTTGAGTTTAAAATAAAACTCCTTTCTAATGTGCTCAGTATTTAATATATAAAGAAAAAAGAAAGAAGAAAACAACAACAACAACAAAATAAACGAAAAGAAGAAAAGAAAAAGACAAATGAAAAGTATTGTGTTTTCTATTATCGAGCATTAAAATTATGTGAGCAAGCTCCAATCTGGTCGCATGAGTTTCGTCTGTATTGATATAAAATTTTAAATTGAACATAACACCGGTACCGAATCAATACACATAACTAGAAAAATATAATTAATCAAATTCTTTTGAAGCATGCATTGATATGACATTTTAAAAATGTGCATAAATGAGTATAAATTGAGCATTTATAACTAACAGTGAGACGAGAGGGAGTGACACGCAAATCAATAAAAAGTGATTTATGTGATTAATATTGAATTGATAAACTAAGAATAAAGTAAAAACGATTTAGAGCCACAGAAACTTTACCAAATTTGGTGTGACACAATCTTAATGAGACGGACCGATGAGGTAAAATGAGACAATCATAGCGGGACGGAAGTAGTAATAAATACTCATCCTAAACTAATATTAAAAAATAAAACATTAACACCTTAAATATTTAATAAACTAATAAATATTCATCTTAAACTAAAAATAAAAAAAGAAAACATTTATACCTTAAATATACATCATAACTAAAATCCATGGAAAAGAATTACACAAATCACAAACCATTACATGTACAAAACAAAAAAAGACTACGTATAAAACAAAAAGAAAAGTCAAAGATGGAAGAGAACATAAAAAAGAGTCATAATTAAACGGAAGAGAGCATATGCGTAGTTGACTCAAGCTCACGGGATATGAATTAAAGAAAAGATACGGACGAACTATAGCGAGCAAATCAGATACAATTACAAAAATACCCGGATGTACAGTGAGAACCGTACATCCGGGTGTACGATATAATTTGCCGTCAGTTTGGTCCCCAAAGTTGCATAAAAGGGGTTAAATAAGTCCTTATATAAGAGGTTTTATCCAGCCGTCGCCATTTGATGACATTTTTTGAGCTTTTTGATGAAATTTTTTGAGCATCTTATTCATTAAGTCTAGTTCACTCACACCAAATTTCAGATAAAAATTCAATCGGGATGACATTCAAATGAATTCTTGAAAATAATTGTGCAGTTAAAAGCGCGGTTATCTTCAAGAAATCATTTGAATGCCTTCCTGATTGAATTTTTAGCTGAAATTTGGTATGAGTAAACTAGACTTACTTGATAAGATGCTCAAAAAAATTATAAAAAAAAATCACCGGGAAACACCTCAAAAGGCACGTCCAGACAGAATCTTCTATATAAGGACTTATTTGACCCCTTTTATGCAACTTCGAGGACCAAACTGATCCTTTACTCAATAAAAACGTATAAATACAGACGCTTTTGATAAAATTGTTGATGTGAATAAGGATGTTTTTACTTGGAGTGTATTTTATTCCATACCAAACCACACCAGACCAAGACAGAGCAGAACAAATTTGGATAGTTATAAAAATACAAAGAAACCAGACCAGATCAGTTCAGACCAGATCAGACTAGACCAGACCAGGAAATTACATTCCAAGTAAAAACATCCTGAAATTAATTTTCAGATCTTCCAAGTTGGTTGCACGAAAACCAATGTCGGTGTACACAGACATTAGTTGTCAGTGTAGACAAAAAATGTCGGTGTGAACAAAATTGGTTCGTAGGTCTGTCAAGGGGGTTGGGAAACCAATGTCGATGTACACAGACAGTTGTCTGTGAAGCAAAAAGTGTCTGTACATTTACATTTTTGGTCTGTGTACATAGACACAAAAAGCAAACCAGTGTACACAAACTGTGGGTGGTGGCAAAGGCACATATGCAGTGTGGGGCAACCATAAATGTGCAGAGTAGATGGACAAATAATGAGGGACAAAAAAGAGTTCAATTTGACATGAAAAAATGTCACATGTCCTTGGAATATGCAATGGTTGTGAAAGACAATCGTGCATAAAATAAGAAGGCATTATGATGCCATTAAGCCTTTGTTGATAGAAAAGGAAAGCAGAAAAGGTTAGAGTTTTGTCTCACTCTTATTGTTCCTCAATCACTACCCTTTTCCCCCACTTTTCATGATTTCTATTTAGCGGTGGGCAATTCAGTTTACGGTTCGGTTTCAGTTCGGTTTTGGTTTATTCGGGTTGGGAGAATTTGTACCAGACTAAAACCATTTGTGTTTCGGTTTGGGTTCGGTTCGGTTTACCAAAGTAAAAAAACATTATGTTTAATTTAGTTTGATTTGGTTCGTTTGCTTATGTTTATTATTTTATTTGATCAAGTTCTATATTTTAGAATTAGAAAATGAAAGTAGTAGTCCATCTCATCTTTCGTTTTTAATTTATTGGTTATTTAAATAAAATTTAAAAGGAAATGAAAGATAGAAAAATAAATAATAAAATATTATAAATTAAAACTTCTAACATCTTTTTTATCACTACAAAAATTCACTTCTTACAAAAAATAAGATAGTTGATTAGCATTTGTAATATCGCATAAAATATTCAAAAAACCTAAAAGAGTCGGTGGTACAAATGTGTAATATTCACAATTTTATTCGAATGCATCATGTAAAAATATAAATACAATTTGCTATTGTTATTGCCAAACATAATAAATACTCCGTACAAATATGTCGTATTAGCTAACTTTGTCATAATGAATGTATGAAATGTGTAAAAATTAAAATGATACGAGTATATGCTTAAATATGTATATTCATGTCTGAATTATTTATTTATATCTTAAAAATGAATAGTGAAGATAAATGCAAAGTGTGTATGTGTGTGTGTTGTTTGGTGTTCGGTTTACGATTTTTCCGTTTTAAACCAAACCAAACCAAAGTACCAAACCATTCGGTTTGACCAAATGTTTACCAAACGGTTTACTTAAATAAACCCAAACCAAACCAAATCAAACCACCAATGTTAATAATATATGAATTTTTTTTGAGTTTCTTTAGTTCGGTTCGGTTTTGTTCGGTTTTTCTCGGTTTCGGTTCGGTTTAATACGGTTTGAAAGAAATAGTACCAAACTCAAACCAAATTGCATACGGTCCGGTTTCGGTTCGGTTTAGTTCGGTTTGGTACGGCTCGGTTCGGATAAACCAAACCGTTATGCTCACCCCTAATTTTTCTAAGACCATGTACACATAGATGAGAAGTGGTTCTGTCTTTTTAAAGAAACATCAACTTTTTACACCTTCCCAAATGAAGAGGACCCTAGTTAGCTTTTTTCCGTTTAAAAGCGTTTAAAAACATACTGTTTTTTGAACAAAAAACGCGTTTAAAATGAAAAACAATGTTGGTCCGTTCAAAAAGGAAAAAAGCTCCTACTTCCCGTATAAAACGTATTTTTCCGTATTTTACAAAAAATAGAAACATGAACTGATCAATTGAATTCGTGCATTAAATGAATAGGAGATCAACAATAGCTTAAAAGCAAAAAGGAAAACCTCCTTCTCATGACCCCATGTTCTTGTATTGTTATAATGCAATTATTATTAAACACTAAAACTATTTGCATGGCGGCTAAAGCTAGCTTCCCAAATGACCAAAACTTGAAATATTATTGGATTCAGGATGTTTTCCCAATCAATCATATCAAAATTAAGGTTTTTCTAAATCTGGCATATTTTTAGTACTACGTATAAACTTTTACACATAAACAATAATAAGCATAGCGGTTGCACAACGTACTTTTCTCATATGTCATTCATCACATTGATGAAAATCATGAGTTTGACTCGAGTGTTGTTTAATGATCATATAAAGACAATGATTTTAATTTAGTCTCATTCTATTGTTATTATTCCTCATTTTTTTGACTTTATTTTTCAAAATTATGTCTTGGATTTAATTAGTACTTTTATTTTTTCATCGAGTGATGAAATTACAAATTATTCTTTTATATGGTAATGAGATTTGCTACTTGAATATGTGTATACTTTTACTTGTTTTTACTATATATCTTATTTTGTGGAGTATATACTTTAAATGTTCAAAATAATACCCCGATTTTTTTGTCCGAATTTTTGTAACATATACCGTATTATACAACGAATATGTATACGTATTCACACGTTTTTTAAAAGTCAACGTACTTTTCAACCAATTTTTGACCGTCTTTTTCATTCTTGTTACCGAATAAAGCACGTATGTATTAAACCTCGTTTAATTCCCGTACCGTATTTAACTAACTATGAAGAGGACCCATGCAGAAATGCCCGGTCCAAAAAAATTATACCAAAAATAATGTCCATTGCTGCAGTAGGTAGGCCCAGGCTTGGAACTATATGGGAGGTAATTTGGGATGGTAAAATTGGTATTTCCATTCATCTATGAAGACACATCAAATAGGGGAAGCAAAAACAGGCCGACCGAGACCATAGACTAAGGTCACTATAAGTGTGACCAGACTAGTCTTCAAAGTCATGATTTTAAACAAAATCGTACCAGCTATCAAACAAAAGTGGACAAATGTTGAAAATAAATAGGTTATCATACAACAGGACAAAGCTAGACTACATATAAATGTCAATGATGGTGACTTTGGCAATAGTAGGACAAAAGATGAAGGGAAAATCCAACTTCGTTGTCAGACACCAAACAACTATGATTTGAATGTTTTGGACTTGGTTTTTTTTAGGGCTATTGACTCTTTAAAGGATCACAAAAGCCATAAAATCCATGAAGGATTTAATTGAATCAATACAAACAACATATGATGAGGTAACAACTCAGACCCTAAATAAGGTCTTCTTAAGCTATCAGTATGTAATGGAAGACATTCTCAAGCATAATGGTGGAAATAACTTCAAACTCAGACATATTGAAAAAGACAAGTTGGAAACATAAGGTTAATTACCAGAGAATGTACAAATCAGTCAACAAATGTATGAGGCAGCAAAGACACATATGGATGAACAATTAGCAACAAACACATCAGGTGCAAATGCAGAGACTTTGTCCACAAATGAATATTATCAGGATCTTCAACTGTGAATTGTCATACATGAGGATTAATGTTTAGAAAACATTTGTTAGTACACATTTTTTTGTCTGTATGTAAGTGTACTATTTTTGCATGTACTTCCCGTGTGACAGTTTTTTTGCAAAGTCTAATGAAATGTGTATCATCCTTTTTTTTGTAAAACTTGGCCTCCTGTACTTATTTCGTGGGCTGCACAAGTACACAAATTCACAACTATGTCATACCACACATAAATTTACAACATCACCACACAGAAATTCTCAAATTGTTAAACTCAAAGCCCCTAATCATCATCAATTTCTACATTACAACCTAGGGGGTAGAAGGATGCACAGAGGACATAAATCAACACATGCAACACAATTACACAAGGAAAAATGGAAAGTACTGCCCTTAGAAGTGTGAACCTCGTATTCGGCCTTCAGAGTGCAAATCAAACTCCTCTTCTCTCCCTTCCACCCCGAACCATAGCCAAAATCTGACCCTCCTCCATGCCTCTCAATGGCCGCTGATGTCACCTCTTCACCTTCTTTCTCTAATCCATCCAGCCCTTCATACGTATCACTCACCATATTGGAACCGTATTTGTTCCTAAACCGCCATCACAACTCCATGTTCGAGCTTTCAGGACCAAAGCGAACAAAGGGTAAAGATGGTTGTACGGGGTGTGCATGGTCACCATCTAGAAAGGGTAGAGATTTAGCCTCAAAAGACACATAGGTGGATTCGGACATGGCTGATTGTGCAAATACGAGGTTTCAAATGATTTCAAACCTTTCAGATATGAGTTGCGAAGCCGCCTTGTAAGCCCACCAACTTCTTTATAAGCGATCGGATCGGCCACAAACCGGTTTCGTTTGGAGAGATGCCCATCCATTTTTGGCGGTGTGAAAGAAGGTGAAGATAACCGTGGAGAAGGGTGCAACAAAGGAGGAAAACAGGATGAGATAAATCGCGAGGGGGTACGCCCGAGAAGAGAGAAGCGGACCGGCAGAAAAGAGAAGGTAGAAGGTCAGTAAATGCGGTGGTGCATAGAACGAAGGGAATAAATGGGGCGGTGCAAAGAACAAAGGGAATAAAGTGGGGTGGTGGGTAGTTGAATAGAGTAAATGAGGTTAAATGAGATGAAAATATTTGTGTCTTTTACCTTAATAATATTTCCTAAAATGGGGGTGTGAACTTAAATATGGGACATCCCGAAAGGAAAAGTAGGAACTTGAATAGGGGACGAAGGGAGTAACATAAATGCAATATAAATCTCTACCTCATTTTTCCGCCCATCTACATCCATCACCAGAGCCGTTCATTTTTTAACATTCGTCTCATCCGTTCATTTGTTTACCCCTTCCCATATCCTTCTTCGGCAATTCTAATACGATTTTCAGCCATTTCTTCTAGAGGTGGGTACGGTCCGGGTCGGACCGGGTAATCGATAAATTTTCAAGAACCGTCAGTTTCATTTAGCGGGTAGGTTTGATCCAGGTATACCAATTTTTGAAATAGGAACCGAAGCTTACTCGCCTCGTTTGAAACGGGATCGGTCCGAGTGCGAGTCCCCGATTCCTTTTATGTAAAAAAAAATACGAATGTACAAGCAAAATTTCTAATAAGTTATAAAATTCTCAAATTAATTACGCATTAATGTAGTCATAATATATATTTATTCAAAATAAAAGTATATGACAACATTTTAAATTAGTTAACAAAATATGGAACCACAAATCTATTAATTAAACATGTAACACCGCCCCCAAATATATTTACTTTTAAGTGAATAATGTATTGAATCTTATGAAACGGTTAATGAATTTACGAAGTTGTGAATTTTTATTAATTCTTTGCATGAACAGTAAATTCGCACGTGGGACCCACGCCGGGAGCGGGGACCGCCCCGGTATTCCCAAGACCATATATTTTATTCATCTTGGTCGATATAATACTTATATAGTGGTGGATAAATTATTTGGGAGAAATAAAAGACACAATGTGGACCGATTAGTCAAAACTGGCTAAAATACCGATTTTGGCAATTTCACAGATAACAGCCCGAAATGAATTTTAGAGGCTTATAAATTAAACTTGGGGAATGTATATTCATTATGAGGGTCATAATGATGGAGAACATGTAATATATTTTATTTGACCCGATAAAATAAAATATATTTAAAACTATCCAAAAAATACAACTTTCGGGACCGAGTGTACACATTGGGACACAAAGGGGTGACCTCCCACATGAGTGGGGGCCACCCCACGTTTTGAGTGCTGAGTTAAACAATTGAGGGCTGGGTTGACAAAGAAAGGAATGGAGGAGATGCATTTGGCATCAAAAGTACATGTATCGTCTCCTCTGTCAATTAAGACAAAAAGTGAACATCCCCCCTTCCCCTCATTATTGTACTCGGCCAGCACCAAGGAGAGAAAGGAAAAGGAGCTCTGAAAGCTCATCCTCCATAGCCAACTCGAGTCCAAGCTCAAACAAGGAAAAAGGAAGAAGTTCGGGAAAGAAAAAAGGAGAAAAAGGTATGGAGATTAAGGTAATAACCTTATATTGGTTTTCCTCTATTTCTTTAGCTACCATATGACTTTCATAGCATGTGAGGAACCCCTTGAGTAGCTCTACATACTTATAAATGTAGAAGGAAGGGGTGAGAGGTGATTCTAAGTCCAAGAACGGACTTAGAAGCCAAACCGACAAGTTCGCCGTAAAATAACCTTTTAGAGGTTATTTGTATTGATTAAGGTTTTATGATGTTAAAACCTTGTTAGGAACTTGATTGGGCATTTTTAGATCTTCGCCGGAGTTTCGCCAGAATTGGTCAAAGCCCGTCGGAGTTGGTCAAAGTTCGCCGGAATTCGCTAAAGTTCAATCGGGAAGCGTAGAACGCGCTAAGGCTCACTTAAGGTGAGGATGACCGACTATATTGCTTATAATTATTGGGTTAATTTCATAATATTACCTAAATAAATTAAATGTGTTTGGCCTGGTTTATTAATGATTAAAAATGCCTAAATGAAATTATTATTGTTTATAAGCAAAAATGCATAATATACAAATTTATGAATAAATTGTGTATGATTATGTGTTATGAATACAATGGCATGATAGTTGTATTAACCATGAATTTCTTTGTGATGAATATACTTTTACCTCATGTAAGGAAGTCATGGAAGGATAAAAGTGATATTTTGATATTAGAGCCAAATTATACTTGAATGTAGAATTTGATTGAAATATACGAACTATTATGAATTAGCATTGGTTATATTAAGATTAAACGACTAGTATAGAAATACTAGTCGGAAATGTTAGTCCAATGGTTCTTTGGAACTAATCCCAAGATATTGAATTGTGGTGGGTACGCCCTATGTAACCTTAAAAGATATTTTTAATGGGACTTTATGAACTTAAGTTACATTAGGAGTAGGCCTTAAGGGTTACTCAAAATGGATGGAGTCTAGACTAAGAAATTGTTTAGGGATTAGATGACGTGACTATGAGCCGAGCTCTAGCAAAATGTAGTATGACTATGAGCCGAGCTCTAGCAAAATGTAGTATGACTATGAGCCGAGCTCTAGCAAAATGTAGTATGACTATGAGCCGAGCTCTAGCAAAAGGTAGTATGACTATGAGCCGAGCTCTAGCAAAAATGTAGTATGACTATGAGCCGAGCTCTAACAAAATGTAGTATGACTATGAGCCGAGCTCTAGCATGAAGGAACGTGGGTTAACTATAAAATAATGACATCCTAGATTGAGGGTCTTGGAAATTGAAACTTTGATTATACTTAGTATAGTTGTCATTGTACTTGTCAAATGCTTCCAAGTACTGACCTCCCTTTCACGGGGGAGGCCACCTCACAGTTTCAGGTAGAACTTGAAGGTTGCTACTATCGCCCATTTGCTTCGGGAAGATCAAGGAGAGAAGACGTGGTTCGTGCTTCCTCCATTTCTTTTTTAAAAACAATTATATTAATGATCATGGATATTATTTTTTGAATAATTATTTGGGGGCTTGTATGCCCATGTTTGCCAAAGTGTGGCATGAATACTTGTATTAAATGTTTCTGCTGCTTTAAATGAATATTTTACATTATGTTTGTTTATGAATGTACTATGTGTGAATGATATCCCAGACGCCTTGTATAGTATGGATGTGTTGGACTGCGGTTGACTATTCATATTGGACGGCGGATTGTTGACGTGTCCGGGTAGGTCCGGGGCATGACAATTTAATTGGTATCAGAGCCTTAGTCCGTAAACCTCATAATGAAGCTTCAAAATCTCCTTTTGAAAACGAATTTGAAAACCATGAGCATAAAAGTTTTGTACTTATAGAACTTTTGGTACTTGAGTTGCAAGGTCTCTAATTGTTAAGATGGTACCCTTAACAATTGGTATGACGGTGATTTGAGCCAAAGAATGTCTTTAAGTACCTATCCGTCACTTGACATTGATACGGGTCTAATGACTCATTCTAATTCATTTCAGAAATGGAGCCAGTTGGAAGGATCACTAGGAGGAACCCGACGGGCCATGCACCGGGTGGGTCCGAGCGCGGTAGCCGGGGGTCCTCTAGGGGATCAAGAGGAAGGGGCCGTGGGGGCCAACGACAAACCATGAGCGATGGCCACGTCGACACGGAAAGTGAGACCTATTGGTCCTATGAGGACTCAACCTACCGGCCGGAAACGGAGCCGGTTGAGACCCCTTATGAAGGGGATGACGATGACGTGAGTGACGAGGAGGAAAATGGCTCCTTGGCTAGAATTGAAGCGTTGCTCCAACAATACCATCAGGAGCGTGAAGAAAGAAGGGAACGCCGAAGGCGCCGTGCGGGGCAACCTTCGGGCGGGGCTCCAAGAGGAAGGAGCTATTGTGATTTGAGAACCCACGTGGAAGCGCATGGAAGTCGAGGCGATGGAGGTCCAACCATAAGGATCTCCAAATACATCAAAGAGGCGAGGGACTTGGGGTGCAAACCGTTCGATGGGACATACGGGAAACATCTCGGTTGCCGCGCAGTGGATCAAGAGGCTGAACGAGGCAGCCCTTGACATGCAACTCACCCCCGATTTTAAACTGAGAATCGCGGTGAGGTTACTTGAAGGGTTGGCATCCAAATGGTGGGATGGAACCAAGGGAAAGTATGGCGGAACCGTCACTTGGGAGGATTTCCGGCAGGAATTCTTTGCTCAGTACTACTCTGACTTCGAAGTCAATGCAAAGGTGAGGGAATATACCCTCCTAATCCAAGGTGGTAACATGACGGTGAAGGAACTTGAGAACAAGTTCATGGACCTTGCCGATCACATACCGAAGTATGCTTATGATGAAAACCGAATGGTGAATCACTTTTGGGAGGCCTTGGACTTGGAGATACACGATAGGGCAACTCAATTGCCCAACATGACTTTCAGCCAAGTGGTTGCTCAGGGGTTGAAAGGAGAGAAGCAATGGGAGGAGAGAAAGAAGAGAGACACCGAGGATGCGAAGAAGAGAAAGTGGGAAAGCCATGGCCCCCAAGGTTCTAACAAAAAAGGGAACCATGGGTGAGGAGGATCGTTCAGAGCACCGGCACCGCCATCCAAGGGAACCCCGGCCATGAACGGGCACAACTCGGGCTCACAAGCCTCAACGACGCCCAGGTGCATGAATTGCAACAGGAGCCACGCCGGTAAGTGTCACGATCCACCACAGTGCTACCAATGCGGGAGTACAGGGCATATTAAGCCAAATTGCCCTCAACTTGGTGGGAACCGAGGGGCGGGATCAAGCGGCGCTACCACGGCGAGTAGGAACCGAACCGGAGCACCCCATGCTAGTGCGGGGCAAGGGGAGCGAGCACGAGCAACGCACCGTCCGTGAATCAAGGGAGGACTCAAGCTAGAGTCTACGCAATGACCGAGGCCAATGCTCGGGCCAACCCTGACTCCGTTGCAGGTAATCTCTTGTTCACTCTTGTATTATTCTTATACATGTGTATTATAAGCTTTAGGGAGCATGTACGGGTCAACCGATGACATTTTCGGCTCATTTTTGAGCGAAAAAATGAGTTGGACACGCCCAGGGACAAACTGGCGCCGGCTGAGCGTAAAACGGAGCCAAAACGAAGCTGGCAGTAGCTTACCCGACGCCGGCCAGGGGGGCAACCCAGCGTCGGCCCGGAAAGAATTTTCCGGCGGGTGCTATCGAGTAGCTTACCTGGCGCCGGTCAGGGGGGCAACCCGGCGCCGGTCCGGGAAGAATTTTCCGATGTTTCGCTCCAGGGGATAACCGGCGTCGGTCTGGTGCAAACTTCCCCATTTCTGATTCCAGTAGCTTACCCGGCGCCGGTCCAGTGTATTTTTACCCGAAAATTTTTCGTTAAGCCCCGTTTCGATCCGGTACGTTGGCTAGTGTGTCTTACATGACTTATATATGTAGGAACATTAAAGATCAATGGTAGAAACGTAAGAATTCTCATTGATACCGGGGCACAACGTTCATTCGTGAGTGAAGCGTTTGCCGAAAGTTTAGACGTGCCGTTGATAGTAATGACACAACCCTTGTTGGTCTCTACACCGCTGTGGGACGATGTGGAGAAGAAACACTACTACACTATAGTATTTGTTTACAAAAAAATATTAAAGAAAGAAAGTTTGATGCATTTGTAATAGAGAATAGATGAAAATAATTTAAGAGTTTAATTATACGGACTTGGAAACTAGTTTTAATTGAAGGAGAAGTTTCTTTAATTGGAAGTCTTTTTCTAGACACAAACACATGAAGAGAGCTTTCGTGTATTGTTAGTATATTATATTGTACTAGTATTAAATATATTAGAGATTAGAGATTATTAAAATAATATTTTAAAATGGTTCGGTTCGGGTATCCGTTTTTTCAAATTTTAAGATCCATTCGGTTCTTAAGTTTTTCAGGATCCGCCCCGCCCCAAACCGTTTGGATTTTCTAAAATCCGGACCCGACCCTAACTCGTCCGGAACCTGTATTATTCGGCCCGACCCCCGGTTCCAGTACCCGTTTGCCCACCCCAAATTGAAATTTGAAATCAATTTAATCCATGGGGTGCTACAGAGCACTCCCCCCGTCTCTATATAAAAGGCTCCATTGCTTTTACACACATATTAAAAAAGTGGGTTTATGCGGCACTATTTGAAAACTGTTTGATATCGTTGACACTGTTTTGCACTGTGTTTATACTGTTTTATTTGCCAACAAAGAAAATATGTTTTTTATTTAAGGGCCAGTATGGTTGGGGGATTTTGGAGGGGAGGGAAGAGGAGGATTGATTTTTTATTTTATTAATTTATCTGATTTTTTTAGTATTAAACTTCAAATAACTATATAGTTAGTTAAATCATGTATTTTTATATACTATTTTGTCTTCACTTTATTTGAATTTGTGTAAATGAAAAAATTATTTTAAATTTAAATATGACTCCTCCCATTCCCTTTCATCCTAAATCCCCCAACCATACCGGGGGTTAGGGAGAGTAATAAAGAGTATTGTATTTTATTTACTCCCAATCAACGGATCTACCTTTGGCCCAATTGCCCAAAGAATGCTGGGAAAATTAGGACTGGGACCGGTTCGATTTTTAGTCAAAATGAGGGGAACCGTTACAAAAAATTTAGCTAAAGAAATCGGTTCGGTTCCTATATAAAGAATCAAGAACCGTTATGGAACCGAACCTTTACTAAATGGTTCGGTTCTTCATTTTACCGGTTCCTTGAATATTTTTTTCAACCGAACCGTTATGGAACCGAACCCAGTTTTGGGTGTTTTTACCAAAAAAAGTAATTTCTTTTTTATTTCTAATGCATTTTTTATACCAATAAAATTGTAATTTCAATACCTTAAAAAGAAAAACTACGTAATATATTTATTTAAGAATAAACATCATGCCAAATTATAATATAGATGTACAATAAAAATATCATTATATATTTTTATAAGATCAAAATATACATTGAAATATTATAAGAGTGTATTAAATGCTTAATAAGTAGTATTGTTAGTTGATTATTATGAATAATAACTAATTTTTATTATAATTTTATATATAATTGTATGTTTACTATTATTACATAGATGTATAATCATTGACCGGTTTTCTGGCGTTGACCGGATTGACCTACCGGGTCCGGGTTGACCCGTGACCCAGTTATGTGGCCGGGTCACTCTCCGGTCCGGTTTTTACAACATAGGAAAAACCAAAGTACCACCCAAAAAGGCTACAAGGACAAATATGTCCGTTTAGGTTGAAATATGGGCGCGCGTAGTACCTTACGCGGTGCTCCGAGAAGGCCCTAATTCCCCGGTATATAAACGCACCTTTTCATCAAAACAAACCTCAGCTTCCATTTGTTAAACCCTAGTTGCCCCAGTCACCTCAGAAGCTCAGCACCAGTGACAATGGTTATGCCTGCCAGAGGTAGTAGCTCTATTCACCTTATGCTATAAGCTCACTTGATTCAGTTGTGCTATTTATATGGAATGTCTTTAAGGTGTGCTCTTCTTTTCGCAGGTCGTGGAGGCAGCGGCGGGTTTAGCGGCGGCAGAAGTGGAGGACGAGGAAGGGGTAGGGGAGCATTCAGTGGAGGCAGAGGGAGTGCTATGAAACGTGATGGAGGTAGAGGTGGCGGAAGAGGTGGTGGAAGAGGTGGCGGAAGAGGAAGAGGAGGAGGACGTGGAGGAATGAAAGGAGGGAGTAAGGTTGTTGTGGAGCCTCATAGGCACGAGGGAGTGTTCATTGCGAAGGGGAAGGAGGATGCACTTGTTACTAAGAATCTGGTACCTGGCGACTCTGTCTACAATGAGAAAAGGATTTCCGTTCAGGTACCAGTGTTTGCGTTTGTGTTGATTTTTAATTGATTTTCTTAATTTGTTTGTTATAGACCTTTACATATTCGGTATGCAGATGTCGTTTTTTCAGAGAATTTGTGTCTGGTTGTTTTGGTGTGAATGCGATATATTTAAAAATCTATGGACTTTTGAACCAGTAGAATCTAGTTGTAATATAGATACTTTCAACAGAATGAAGATGGAACCAAGGTTGAGTACAGAGTATGGAATCCTTTCCGTTCTAAGCTGGCCGCTGCAATTCTTGGAGGCGTTGATGAAATTTGGATTGTAAGCTTGTTTGAATACTATATCAGCATATTCGTTTTCGATCTTGTAGTGATTGTTCTATAAATGCATGTTTATCATCACATTTTTACCAGAAACCCGGCGCACGTGTTCTTTATCTTGGAGCTGCGTCTGGAACAACTGTCTCACATGTTTCTGACCTTATTGGCCCTGTAAGTTTTTTGGTTATTATGTATTCCCTTGTTGGATGCAATGAATGTGACTGTACTTAGACTGGGGTTGTGTATATAATTCTTTTTCTTTTCTTTGTAGACTGGTGTTGTCTATGCAGTTGAGTTTTCAAACAGAAGTGGTAGAGATTTAGTGAACATGGCAAAGAAACGTACTAATGTTATTCCCATTATTGAAGATGCCCGGCATCCTGCTAAATACAGGATGTTAGTTGGAATGGTTGATGTCATATTTTCTGATGTTGCTCAGCCTGATCAGGTTCTCATTTTGTTCATCTCTGAAATTGGGTTGATTACATTATATAAAACAGAATTATTGCACCCACATGTCTTTCTGAAATTTTACTCGATTATGACCTCAGTTTATTTTCTAAGATTCCAATTTACTAAATCTTATTTATGAGTTCACTATTTTTTTATTAAGCAAATGATGATTTACTCGGATTCCCCATCAAGACTTATTGGGTGATGTAAACCCGAGCTTCTGATGCGTCATTGTTTGAAAACAACATGTTATTGGGTAGTCTTGTTTGTTCTCAAAACTTTTAATCTGCGTAGTTTTGGAGTTTCTTTTAGCTCAATGTTTTGTTCTTTTTTAAACTTTATTGTTGTAGCGAATGAGTTTAAGCTTGGTTATCCTTCAAGTTATATTTGTAATGCTAAGATAATGATATGTATAATCGTGTACAACTTTTGTGTAGCCTACTATTTGTGTATTGCGTAGTACTGATTTACTATCAGTATTTGTTAATATTTCTCGAAGCTTCCAAAATTCTTTACCCCGTGTTTTAATATTGTTGATTGTATTTTACCTTATTAATTTCTAACACATTGTCTCACTAGATGGTGTTGGATAAATATATACTACGTATGTGTTCTGTATTAACTATGGATTTCATTTATAATTTTTTTAAAACTTGATAAGCCACTGTACCTAGAAGTATATGGTTTTCTGATATTTATCTCAATGAAGTTCTGCCAACTGATTGTAAAATATGGACAAATACCACAAGTTGATGTTTGTTCCCAAAGCAGGGCTTATTTAGCATCAATTAATTAAATAGCAAAACCATAATATTTTCTTGGACCAGGAGTGAATTAATTATGTTTTGGGGAAAAAATAATTGTCCTAATTCAGTACTACTACTGATCAGAAGTGGTTTGGTTCCACTATTGTAATGAAATATGGCGGTTGAATTCCCCACATGAGGCTGTGTCAAATTGATCTTATGAAGCTGTGTCAAAGTGATCTTATTTCTATGTGTTTTCAGTTTTATATGCTGCCCGGTTCTAATGCCTCTTGAAATGTTTTAATTTTTGATTAGATTTAGTCTTGTGATTTTCTTATTTACAGGCAAGGATTCTAGCACTGAATGCCTCCTACTTTTTGAAAGCAGAAGGGCATTTTGTCATATCCATAAAGGTTTGTTTCTTTGGATACAGAGAAAGGGAAAATGATGGCTAATATTTTATCTGAGGCTGCGCTTTTGTCTTGGCCCATTTCTACTCTCTATGTTGACTTCCTCTCATGTTCTCTTAGGCTAATTGCATTGATAGCACCGTACCTGCTGAGGCTGTATTTGCACAAGAGGTTAAGAAGCTGCAAGCAGATCAATTCAAGCCAAGTGAACAGGTTACCCTTGAACCGTTTGAGCGTGATCATGCTTGTGTTGTTGGCGGTTACAGGATGCCCAAGAAGCAAAAGCCAACTTCCTAGATTAGCAGCAGCAGCGTCTTATGTTGAACTCAAACTTTTGGATTGCTTCAAGGCTTTTATTGTCTTGTTTTTATTGTGTTTTTTCTTATCGTACAGCACGAATTTTAGTTTCTTTATTAGAAAATTTTCCTAGCACATTTTGACCTATTGTTAATCTGCAATGGGCTGTGTGCGAACTGAGTGAATGTATGACTTGGTTTTGTTTAATTTCTGTAATGAGGCTTCTTAGGCTTCTTTTATGAGTTTTTTCCATTTAGTCTATTGACTATTATGTCATTGACACTTTTAGTACTATTTGATTTTGATTTTTTCCATTTTTAGTCCTCGACTATTAATACTGTGTTTGAAAATTTTCATATCTAGTCTTTCAACTTTTATAAAAGTTACACTTTTGGTCATTCAATTATTATAATGGTGACATTTTTAATCCCTACTTATTGTGTAAAAATCACAATGAGAGGACTAAAAGTTAAAAGTGTCGATTTGACACTACTTGGGATTTGGGAACTTAACCCCCCACTTATTTTTGAGATACTAACGACTTTAGTGCTGTCACTACCATTGACATTTGACATAATAATACACACTTCCTTAGTTCCTTTTCATCATTACAATTCATAATCTACAAAACAAAACAAATATT